AAAAAAAAATTAAAAATTTCTGCTCTGCAAGATACACTGTCAAGAAAGTGAGGAGACGGCTCGGCACCTGTGGCTCAAGTGGCTAAGGCACCAGCCACATACACCTGAGCTGGCAGGTTTGAATCCAGCCCGGCCCTGCCAAACAACAATGACGGCTACAACCAAAAAATAGCCAGGCGTTGTGGCAGGCGCCTATAATCCCAGCGACTTGGGAGGCTGAGGCAGGAGAATTGCTTGAGCCCAGGAGTTGGAGGTTGCTGTGAGCTGTGATGCCACAGCACTCTACCCAGGGTGACAGTTTGAGGCTCTGTCTCAAAAAAAAATAAAAAAACCCAAAGGTGCCTTTATTTGACTGGTAGCAAGCTCCTTGCCCCTGGCAGGGTGAAAGGTTGGTTTTCCAGGGAGGAAATGGGGAGGAGGTGGTAGTCACAGAGGATGGTGGCTAGGTGACAGTGCCAGTAGCTGCAGGACAGCCTCTGGGAGCCCATTCAGGGAAGTCCTTCTTGGGGGTGACCCTCTGGGGGCTAGCAAAGTGTAATCAGATTTAAATGGACATAATGAGAAAGTGTCCCCTGCTACCCTGGGAACCCCGGATAAGTCAGCTGCCTCTCTGGGAAAAGATCACACCACACCAAGGCTTTGCTCCAGTGGCCCCTGGGCATGTCCAAGTGGCTAAGGAAACTGCAGAGGCAGAGCAGAGCTGGCAACCTAGGAGGACACTGGATTGGACCCACAGACTAGTGATGAGAACAGTGACTGCTGCTCACTGAGGTGTGCTCGGCCCCCATGTACTTGACACCCCTCTGACGTCACTACTGGTGCCTCCGGTTTACCCAGATGAAGAAGTAAGACGCTGAAAGTCTAAAAAGCAAAATGTATTTGTTAAGTGTCAGACTGGGATTCAAACTCGTGGCCTCAGGTCTCTGAGCCCTAGGACTTTAGCTCAGTGCCTTGCCAATTCAGAACTTCAGTGGTGGGCTGGGCATGGTGGCTCACACCTGTATTCCCAGCACTCTGGGAGATTGAGGCGGGTAGACTGCCTGAGCTACGGAGTTTGAGAATAGCCTGAGCAAAAAAAATCAAAAATAGCCGGGTGTTATGGTGGGCACTGAGGCAAAAGAATCGCTTGAGCCCAAGAGTTTGAAGGTCCTATGAGCTATGGCGCCACAGCATTCAACCCCAGGGTGACTGAGTGAGACTCTTGTCTCAAAAAAAAAAGAAAAAGAAAAGGCCCGGCTCTCATCCCTGTAATCCCAGTACTCTTGGAGGCCAGGGCGGGCGGACTGCTTGAGCTCATGTGTTTGAGACCAGCCCGGAGCAAAACAGCAAGGTCCCTGTCTCTACTAAAAATAGAAAAATGGAGTGAGGCAAAAGGATCACTTGAACCTAAGAGTTGGAGGTTGCTGTGAGCTATGATTCCATAGCACTCTACCCAGGGCAACAGCTTGAGACTCTGTCTCAAAAAAAAGAAAAAACAAAAAAACCTCCCGTGGCCGAGCAGGTCTCAAAGCAGTTTGTGAGCAGAGAGCACCTGCCAGTGACCAACCCATCCCCCTAACTCCCAACCTCAGGAGAGTGTAATTAATCACACTATTTCAGCCACAGAGTCCTGCTACGGTGCCGCCTGACAAGTGATACACACCTGTAAGGGCTCGGGCTACCCAGGAATTAGCCAAAAGACTGCAGAACAGCATGGAACTGCTAACGGGACCCAGCACACAGATCCCACACTTACGAAGACGTCTTGCTGTCCCGGGACCATTTTTTGATCTGTGAGAGCTTGTTGATAAGAAAGATGCCCTTTCCCTGGGCCTTGCCACAAGGCTTCATGATCCAGGTGCTGGACGGGCTCTTCCTGAACTCTTCCACGAACAGGTTGTAGTCGGCAGGCAGCATATAGGTGACCGGAACAAAGTCTGAAAGGAAAAGTTATCGGTGCTGGTAACAAGACAGCCCAACAGTGATCATGAACAGAAAAATACCACCTGTTCGGGCCTGCTCATCATCCCCTGCACACTGAGCACCTACAGAGCAAACACAGGGCACTCACAGGTTATTGCTATCAAGCTCTGCCAGCTGCAAGCATTTTACAAACCTGCATCATTTAATCCCACAGCCACTGAGGAGCCAATGATTCCCACTTAATAGATGAGAAAACTGAGGCCCAGAAAGGTCAGTCTTATACTGTAATTCTGCCCAGGTATGAGCAGGGATTGTGGAACTACTCAACAGTCCAGCTTTTATCACCAGATGGGACAGAGACACACTGTCCCTGTAAATGGCTAGACATGTGATGACCCCTGGTGGCAGTGTGGGACAACTCCCAGGGCACTCACAGAAATTTGGCTTTTAAACTTGAGCCCTGGCTCGGCGCCTATAGCTCAACCAGCT